CTAAAAATTAAATAAGAAAGTTTACTTACCTAGGCCGGCTAGCCCAAGAAGCCCAAAGTTGGTGGTGCCGCCCGTATCAGAACCGTAGGTTATTTACACCTCTTTGTCTTCATTTTTTCTTTTTGAAATTGGTTGATTTTCCCCTCTGAGATCTGTTGGAAATATTGGCTCTGGATGGTTTAGAGAGGTTGAAATTGAATTTTGGGTTTTGTAGCTTGGATCTAGGATCATGGCTTCTAGGATCTATGGTGTGAAAGCTAAAGCTCTAGGCTAAGATTAAGAGGATGGCTAGGGCTTTATTCTCTGGAATTTGGTTTAGAAAACTAAGGTTTAGGTATCTTGAGTGTTAGGCTTCCTGATTCTAGGTTTTCTCTAACGATTAGGTCTCTTGATCTAAGATTTTGTGATGATCTCTTAAATAACCTGAAATAGAACCCATAAAGTCGGTTGGGAATGATTCCTACTAGATTTTTACATAAAATTTGAGTTGACCAGATCAAGAAATCTAAACACCACGGTATCTGGTGTTTTCCGAAAAATTTGCCAGACACCACAAAAACTGGTGTCCAAGGTTTTTTCTTGTAAAAGCTCTGTGAGAGCTGATTTTGTTGGGCATATGGTTTCGACTTTTGCTCCAAACGCCCCGAAATTTTTCGAGATTTCATTGATCTTCTTGAACTTGATCCAAATTCCGTATTTTCTTGATCGTTCTTATCCCGAAAGCTACTGTCTAAGTCAGTTTTCCTATTTTCTAGTGTTTAGGATGACTTTCTAGATTTTAGGATGGTTTTCTAGGGTTTTAGGATTCCTAAAAGATTTTCTAGGATTTCTAGAAGATTGGGACCATGGTCCAAAGGACTATGGACCAAAGAAAAGGTTGACTATGGTGTATTTGAGTAGGATGGTCCCTAATGGTTTTCTAAGGCATTTTTAGGGATTTAAATATTAAAAAAAGGGAAAAATGGGAAAAAATAGCCAAATTCAAAATGGGGCGTCTACAATACTCTAGGGTGTAAAAAGGGCCTTAAGAAACTGTAATTGGGATCCATGCTCTCAGCCCCATAGATTTCATATAAGGGTGATCCAAACGTGCTTCCCAATTCAAATTGGTGGATTCAGGAGGATCTAACAATTAGATTTGCCATCGGTCAAGTGATTTGATGTGGGGTGTGCTAAGTCCTAAGGGGGTAACCATAGGCAAAAAGTTCAATAAGTCTTCCCAATCTTATTTTATTTGCTATCTTGATTTTTTTCTTAAGTTGTAAGTTCGAATTCGTACTGGAATAAGGTTTTTAGGCAGTAAGATTTTAAGATCTTAGATTGTAGTAGGTTTATTTCTACAATGTATTGTGAAATTGTAAGTAGAAACAATTAATATAAAAGAAGAAATTTTTGAATTTCTACTCTGGAGTTCTACATAGCTATAATTCTTTCAATGACATAGTCTTACAGGGGAAACTTATAATCCACACTCTTAAGTTATTGGTTATGCCATTTATTGACAAGCTTTGATTGATCAATCATGGCTCTTGCAATCGACAGTGGCTCATAAGTTCGTTGGGTTGGTTTGAGAAGATAACCATGGATCACAGATTCTAACATAGGTGGAGTGCCTTAGAGATGTCAGCTATTCTTGACCCATTGGTACCATCCACTTCTAGATTTATTTTTAAAGTGATTCATAAATTTTTTGAACCCTTAAAATACTTTTTTTCCAGATTTATTTATGCCCTTGTGACTTAAATATTTTCAGAACCAAAAACTTCATTTTATTTGTTTAAAAACACCATAGGGTCATATTTCGTATTAATTTGTTTTTGCATCAGCATTTTTTTTTTATGTGGGACCCATGAGGGGGTGCCAAGGGCCTAGCCCTCCACATGTCGATGCCTCACACGAGTGAGAGACGTGAAGCAATTTTTCCTCTCACATCTTTCATTCTTCTTTGGACGTCCCTTTCCTTCTTTTTTTTGTTTTTTTGATATTTGAATCTATTTTAAAGTAGAAAATCTTGGTAGAAAAATTGAATTTTTGGATTTCTAAGATAGAAATAGTTTTTTATGTGAGATAGAAATTTAAAGTAGATTGGTTTTCTAGAAGATCTAATCCATGTTGGTCTAGAAAACCCATGTTGGACTAGAAGTCGATATGGGTTAAGGATCTATGGGATAATTGTTCTAGGATTCGTTCTTGACCATGATGGCTGTTCTAAAGAATGGATGACTCAGATTTTTTTTCTCTCTTCAACTCATAGATTATCTTGAACTCCTTGGTCTAATTTGAGGCTTATTAGAAGTTGGCATCCTTAAGACCATGAGGCCTTGTGTAAAGGGGGGAACCCCTTTCATTCCCACCATTTGTTTTTCAGACCTCTGTGTCTCCTTCTATCTTCCACGCCCCTCTCATACTTTTTCTCTCTCTCTCTCTGGGCTAGGCACTCCCTAGCTAGGCAGGGCCATAGAAGGTGGCTTGACCACCCAAGCTAGCTTGAGAAAGTGGCATGCCCAGCCCATTTAGCCTTGAGGTCAGGGTTGTTGCCATTGTGGCACATAGCCCAAGGTCTAAGAGTTGAAACGAAACCCAATAGTTGTCCATGTTTTCAGCCCCAGTTTTTTTTATAGAGGGTGTTGTCATAGGTGCTCCAGATTTGGAGGACTCTAGTAAGGCCAAGGATCAATGCACCATCGGTCTGGTGGTCGGGTGCGGGTGATATGTGTTGTGAGCGGAAGCTCTAAACCCGATGGGTTAATATTTGACAAATAATAAAGTATGAAAAATAAGCATAAAACACATACCACAAGAATACAAAAGATTTATGTGGTTCACCCCAGAGGGTCTACATCCACAGGCGCGACAAACTGAATTCCACTATACCAATGAAAGTTACATCAAAGATTTTGGAACAAACCTCGACAAAAACACAGTCGAGCAAACCCTTTTAAACCTGCTCTCCCAAATAGCACCATGTCAATCTCTCCTCTGTATTCCATAACTAGACCACTGTCTAGGAAGAGAACAACTTTGAGAGCAAACGAGACTTTATCTCACTAAAAGGGGAAACAACCCAAAATCTCCATGGGAACCGCTTCTCTACAAGAAACCAACCTTTCACTCTGCAGGAGTCTTCAGGAGGCATCATCAGTGTTTCTCTTCATCGGAAGCTCTCTTCTCTCTAAGAGGAAATTGCATCTTATGCATAGGAGGCTCTATCTCCCTCTCTCTCTAAAGGAACCACCATTCTCATATGGTGACCCAAATAGGGCACACGAATTCTCTGCACTTTTATCCCATATATATAAAGATTAGGAGTCCATACTAAATAGGAACTACCTATTGATGTACATATATCTCAAGTGTCCTAATCTTTTTGGATTTCTATTTCCTTTAGGAAACTTATCAATATAAATCTCAATCCCTCAAAATATGGAAATATCTCAATCCCACATAATATGGGAATATCTCAATCCCACATAATATGGATGAATCTCAATCAATCCCACAAAATATGTGATTTCCAACAATAAGTCCTACAGGGGTGACCCTCAGCAAAATTCAGGTAAGTCTTCCCAACATTCTTTTTTCCCCTTCAGTTTATTCTTTTTCAGTTATTATGGTTCTTTATTCCTATTTGTATTACAATTCCTAGTTGTAATAGGATTCCTATTTAAGTTAAAAGTCCTAATTGATTTAGAATTGTAAGTCAATTTTATCAATAAAGTTTGTTTTCTTTGAAGCAGTAACAACTAAGATTCATAGGTTTTATTTTCTACTTTTGCTGTGTAATTTTCGCATTTTAAGTAGAATTACCCAGTTCTGAATAAAAGAAAATGAGAACTTCTGAATTTACAATCGGTGAATCTTATATAGCCGCTACTTTCACATTGATCTGTTATCTCCCAAAAAAAAGGAAAAGAAAAAAGAAAAAAATAAGAGATCCATGGATCTCCTAGTTCATTGATTAAAGGAAGGGATTACATTATATTTCTTGGTTGGACTTTAATTTGGTTCCAAATAAGTGGATCTCGCGCATTTCTTATTATGAGACCTTGAGATCAAATGTGAGAGAATAATTAAATGGGTAACAAACTATGTAAGGTAGAATGACCAGTACTTGTTCTCCAGCCAATCTGGGCGAATGACTTCAAGTGGTCTTACGATTGAGCAGAGGATTATAGTATACCAATATGCACGCATATTGCCCGCAACATATTGCACTAGAGCAACATACTAGTCGAGGTTTGGTGAGAAGATCTGCTAATTGAAACGCAGTACTTACACATGGTATAACGATAACTTCTATCGAAAAGCATTAGATAGGCTCTTGCCTATATTTATGCAACCAATCATGAAAAGTAAGGTTTCTTTTGATCCAAATGGAAAATGACATCTCAGCAATATGTGTTGGCAACTGAATGTTTATCATGTGATGCCATTCTCATTCCTTTCGGAGCATTACACTATCTATTTTAAATCTCAATTCTTGGAAACATGTGGATTTAGTACATCTATCTTTTTTTTCTTTTCTCCAAGTGATTTACTACAACTATTAGTGAGCAGAGAAATTCAAAGATCTTTTGCTCTGATGCTGTGTAAAAAATATATTTGATGTATTGGACTGTTTTATTCCTCCCACTAGGAGGTGTAATAATAGGTTCACTAGTTGTGTCTCCAATTTTACAAGTACGTGGATTGAGCGACTGGCAATGCATTGTTCTTTTTAGAAGGGATGGCGGAGATGATCCGCTGTACCACATAAATGTCTGTTAAGTCCATGCAAATGTTTTATCCTCCCCATCCACTTCTGAAGAAGGGCTGGTAGATGGCCTGCCTGTATTTTGTTCGGCATATAAATCGTGTGCTCTATAGTTATCATACATATAAATTTAGTTTATTGGTCAACCGATTTGAATTCTAGGGCTATATACTAAAATTTATTGATAGCACATGCCTTATTATCTTGTAGCCCAGTCTGTGTTTATGATTTCCTCATTGCATTACAGTTTTTTCCACCTGATGCTGCAAATAGGGAGGATTGTTGGTATGGCTATACATGTCGCACACAGCATCACAATACCGAACATGCACGCAAAAGAAACCATGTCTGCCGTCCATCAAGGGGCAATCCGCATTAGTTTCATCCAAACAACATTCCAATATAATGATTGTATACAAGGTTTTTATCACATGTCGGTTTTGCATAAATGTTTTATCTCATATTGGTCAGTGCTTCGTCAGTATCATTTCTCCATTTCTGAAGATGTAGAAGATTGGGTGGTGTATTATGAGGCACTTGTTGCATTCAATGTTTTATGCTATGATGATATGAATGTATTTAACAATCCATAGAATTATACATCAATCAAGGTTTTAAATGTTTTATGGTATGAGCAGTTGACAACTTCAAAAAAAAAAAATATTTTCTGGTATGAGATGTATGCATTCCATGAAGTGTGTATGATTAGAGAGATGGCATGTGGTATTGAAATCAAGAACACTGCCTGTTTCTACTGGATGGATGGAGAATTGGTTGTATCTCGAGTTCATCGGAGTACCGTAAAAAACAGATATTGGCGGACCACTAAACGGACTTCTAGGGTATTTTTAAGGGAAATTTATGAAAATATTCCCAATATTTATTGTTTTGTGTGCACATATTTCTCACAATCATGAATTGCAAAATATATAAAAATACTTAAAAGAAAAATCAAAAGGAAAGGTTTATATATGTCCCCTACAACATAAAAGCATAATACGCTGCCCCCATCCAGTCGTCTAATTTAGATCAAGTGTATCACTTACTGTTTGATCTAGATCTAATGCGTCAGAGTATTTTATTTTTAGTTTTATTATACAAATTATATGAATGTAAAATTTGGTACGGGCCATCATCTCATTGCGGCGCACTTGAAAAAAAATATTAAAAACAATTGTTCGATAAAATATAATGATCAAGATACCCTTTGAAATTTTTAGGGGTATTTTGGTTATTTTATTTTATTTAGAATATTTATTTTATATTTTTTACCAGACGAATTTAAGAGAGGAGTGGACATCTAAATTTGGTGTCAAAGTAGTTTGTAAAAAAATAATTGAAAATAAAATTGTGCAGAGACATGACATTGTGATCGGTCATCTTAGCTGTCCATTCAAAATGGATGGTTGGATAGGGGGAAGCATATAAGTTTTATACTGTAGGGGGAGCATACCAAAATAAAATGATAAAAAAAACTTGTGCAAATTTTACGGAAGTTTTGGTCATTTTATTTATTTAAATTTATTATTTTTGTAGTTTTTACAAGTGCATGGTGTTGAGAAGCATAATTGAATATGAAATATTGAAGGCAATTTTTTAATTATGCAAAATATAAAGGATATCTACATAAATTTTCTTTATTTGGAGCAATGGAGCAACGTTTTCTTTAAGCATGACCCATACCACTTCATTGCGCTGCGTTGCCTGTCTAGGTGCATCACCACACGCACGGTTGAGGGCAGGGGGCCTCGACGGCCGGCTGGATGCCCGAGCGTAGCACACCCACGCAGCATGGTCGGTGGGCATCGGGTTGGGCGTAGAAGCACATTTTGCCGCGAGGGCCTCCGGGCAGCCCGAGCATGGCGCACCCACGTCGTATGGGTTGAGGGCTCTGCAGTGGCCTACGGGTTGCGCGTACAAGGCACACAGGGGATGGCACCGAGTGTAGTTGCCTTAGGCGCACGTGGGATGCTCGGCACACACACACAATTGTTGGTGGTTGGCATCGAGATGTGTGCGCTTGCACGGGGTTCCTTCTGACCTTCTGAGGTGATTGGTGTCTAAGGTATGCCCTTTAGCTACCAGCGGGGCCTGGATATCCGAAGGTTCACAAGGCACTAACTCCGAACCTCTTGTGCGCACACGGAGCCGCGAGGGCCTCCGGCTAGCCCGAGCATGGTGCACCCACGCCGTATGGGTTGAGGGCTCCGCGGTGGCCTACGGGTGGTGGGCAGGCTCGAGCTTGGTGAACCCACCGCGGTGCGCGCGTGTGTGCGATGTACCAAAGAGCCTAAGTGCCGTGTGCGGGCACGGTTTTTATATGCCCGTTTTGCAGCTCTCGGGCCAGCCATGAGATGCGGAAAATTGCCCAAAATTTGAGCTTACTATGATATACAAAAAAGTTAAAAATTGAATACAATATATACTATAAAAGAGTGGGATATGAGTGTAAAATATGAAATATTGAAGGCAAATTTTTAATTATGCAAAATATAAAGGATATCTACATAAATTTTCTTTATTTGGAACAATGGAGCAACTAATCAGCAATGCTCCCAATTTGCACCCGACTGTGCGAAAGAGGCTGCAAATTGTGGCTAAACAATAAGGTTGACATTTTAAAATGTAGAATTAAGATGCACATCTAAAATCCTTGGCAAAAGTTGTCTTGTTGTTAGAAAAACTTCAATGAACCATCTTGACATTGAGACATAAAGATATGGGGACAAAAAGAGATTTAAGTCCTAATAGTACACCTTATATGATCTAGATTGTCAATTTTCAAGTTTTTCACGTGTTTATAGATTTGTTTGATTTGAACAATTTTTTAAATTTAAAATGTTATTATTAAAAATAAAAATAGACTCTTGTACTATCCTAAGAATTTTTTTACGTCAAAACTATATCTCACGACAAAGTTTAAAGGTGCACTTTACCTTAGTTGTTTAAGTTTGCAACCTTATGCAAACCACTCCTTAAAAAAAATGGGTGATACATTTTGCCCATAACTTAAAATTGTCGTACTTACGAATACAGCTGGTCCAATCTGCCCTCATGCATACGGAAAAGGAGTAGCGGCAGGGAGACAAGGATTAAGGCGTCTTGGGATCAGTGTTCTTGGACACAGTAAGATCCACTCGAAATCGGTTTGAGTTAGTCGGCTTCAGCCTATGGGAGAGACAATTTTTGGCCGAGCATGTTCTTCCCCATACTTGTAAAGTATTTATATTAATTTTTCAATTTGAAGTCTAAAAATATGTATGTGGCACTTTAGATATAATGCGAGTGCATTTCCCATCAATTATGGAGTTTGATTCCATCGCAAACATTGCGGTCCTTTTTTTTTAAAAGAGTTAAGAAAAAAGGAGAAAAAAACGGTCTTTCTTAAGAAAGGGACTAAAGAAAAAGTTGCCCCTCCATAATCAAACTCAAGACCTCTTGTAAAGAGCATCTCGACGTCAGATAGCCTAAATAACATGCCATTTAATATTTGATTATGAAAGTTAGACGCTCTATCACATGTATAAATTTTTTACTTCATTTTTTTTAAAAAAATTGTGCTGGACTCGGATAAGTTACTCGAACTCGCTCGAGTGACTCACCTCAGCCAAGGCCTTAAAAGAAAGACCTATGTGATCTTTTATTGGAGAATAATAATTTTTTTATATTTATTTACTTTTTTTTGTTTTGGTAAAAGATCACTTACAAGTGGTCTTATTACAATAACATATACTTCAAAATAAAATCAACATAACAATAAAACCAAAATCTTAAAACTTGATGTCATTGAAATAGCTATGCAGTATGCTTGAGACTATAAAGAGAAGATTGCAAGAAATAAAAAAGAAGAGGGTCGAAGATTACCTCAACCGGGCTTATTACACCCCACACCGAGTCACCACCGTCCGATAGCGTGGGATCGACGATCTAGCTTCAATCTCACTCCGAAAAATCAAGTTTAAGCCAAACTAATTCTATGAAACCTTTTTTGAATTTATCAAACCCAGATCATAACCCCAAGACTTATTTTGACATATCCCATACTACCCAACTCTTAGGCTATTAAAGATGAGAGAGAGAGACTTAGGAGGTGGTCTAGGGTTGGGGTGTGCCCCTCTAGAGGTAGGCTAGGAGAGAGAGGGGCTTTAGAGTGAGGAGAGAGAAAGTCTTGAGAGGGAGGAGAGAGAGTGGCATGTCCCTTGGAGAGAGACTAGAGAGAGAAGTGAGATGTGTACAGAATAAGGGGTACACCCCTATTTACAGTGCAAAATTAGGTTTAGGGTTTCTCATAGTTTGCTTCTTAAGTGAGATTGAACACGGACCATCGATCAAGGGTGACTTGTGAAGTGACAGATTTGACTCATCATTTTTATAGATGAGCCATCAACATTATGGAAGGTGCATGAATCATTATCTCCCTTTTCTAAACCATTTTCCCATAAATATAAATTAAGGCAAATTAATTTCAATCAAATATTGTGCATTCTATAAAATAGTACAAATCTACTCCTATTTTCCATAAAATATTTCAAAACATATCAAATCAATATTTAGTCAAATATTTTCTAACCTCAAGATTCTATTTGACCTCATACCATATCTTATCAAAATAGAAACAAAATAACAGAGAATAAGGGGTGGGGCGTGCCACCCAAGGAAGCCATGCATGGGCCCCACCTTCAACATGGTGGGTCCATGTGCACAATGGCCCCCATAAAATTTTATTTTGCATTTAAAAAATGAAAAAAATAATTTTAGAATATTTATTTGAATATTTAAACCATTGTAAATTCAATATCTTTAATTTTACAAACCCAAATTTTATAAATAAAACATCTAGATATTCATAAAAATTCAAATAATAATTCTAAAATAATTTCTATCATAAGACAAATATAATTAAATTAATTTGATTAGAAATGGATCCATATGGCTTAGGAATTAAATCAACAATCATGTGGGCACTCCACTTTCAACTGTGGACTACAGATCACACGTGCTATATCGAATTGATCCAGAGTTTTTCATGACCCATAGTCAAAGCAGGGGCTCATTAGCAGGTCACCAAAGTCTGGCCGATGAGCCAATGGGTCGCAATCCTAGTCTGTGGATTTTTGGTCCTCCCTAAGAGACGAGTCAAGGTCACTTAAACTTGATGCGACCACAACTCTTATGATGCATAGGGGTATATCTCACACATACATACGCTTCACCCTGAAAGGTGACTTGCTTTTTCGAAACGATCTATCAATATGCATGTCGTGTAATGGTATATGGATGAGGCTTTTACTCCCTTCTCTGAAAGTCACCATCACACACAAGGGTTACACAATCCATCGGCTCACTCATCTTGGCATACTTCGACCTCATCAATGGGTGACCCATTAGAACCCTTATCGGTTGATATTCTATGCCCAGGTAACATGGGTTTTTCCCAACCGACTATCCTAGACCATCAAGCACAGTCTGGTATCTACAAACATTGTTTGTATAGTACAGTCCACGAGAGACACCACTCCAATTGAGTTTGCGATCTATTGTATCAAATGTTTTATTACAATCACTCATAAAGCCTTTAATGTCCATACAAACCCAACATCTCCCACTTGACCTTTGAAGGCCTTACAATCT